ATAGCCATTTATTTATTAGGTTTTTTTTTTTATTTTTTGAGGCAGTCTTAAGCTGTCGCCCTGGGTAGAGTACCTTGGCATCACAGCTCACAGCAACCTCCAACTCTTGGGCTCAAGCGATTCTCTTGCCTCAGTTTTTCTATTTTTACTAGAGATGGGGTTTCGATTTTTGCTGAGGCTGGTCTCAAACCTGTGAGCTCAGGGCATCCACCCATCTTACCCTCCCAGAGTGCTAAGATAACAGGCGTGAGCCACTACATCCAGCCAATAACCATTTATTTGAGAATATATTCCAATATCGAATGGCAGATTTCAACAATGCAGAAATGCAATTACTTTTGCAACAGAACTTATACACTACAGATAAGTCCAGATTCCAGCAGCAAGGGCGTCCAGCCTATGGCCTGTGGTCGGCATGCTGATTTGTCAGGACGTTTTTTCCTGTAGTGTTGGATATCATGAAAAGTATGCATGGACCTTTTTTTTTTCCTCATCAATTTTCATCAGTGTTTGTGTATTTAATGTGTGGCAGTGGAAAAAAAGGTTGGATACCCCTATTCTAGAGCAGAGGTCCTCAAACTTTTTAAATAGGGGGCCAGTTCACTGTCCCTCAGACTGTTGGAGGGCCGGACTGTGGGCCCCAGGACAAGTTGGCTGCTAAGGAGGACAGGCAGCGGGTGGCAAAAATAACCGGCAGGCTGTATAATTGTCCTAGGTGGGCCATGAGTGGCTTGCGAGCTGTAGTTTGAGGACGCTTGTTCTGGAAGACTCAGCTGAGAGTGAACCTTTAAAATGGACTAAGAAGGGTCACAGTTTAGTGCTAAGAATGGGCTGGTACTCTGGGAAGGGTTTACCTGGAGAGTGAATTAGGGAGTGTACACTCTCATTTGTGTACGCTGGATATCTCTGACCTTGGTCCTAAACTGCTAGTGTTCTTTGGCTACCTGGCAGAAGATAGTAAAAATTCTCCATTGAAGAAATATTGTCTTCACCTTATTATTATTATTATTTTAGAGACAGTGTCTCTCTCTGTTGCCCAGGCTTAGAGTGCAGTTGTCTGATTGTAGTTCACTATGACCGTGCACTACTGGACTCACATAGTCCTGCCTCAGCCTCCCGAGTAGCCAGGACCATAGGCATATGGCACCATATCCGGCTAATTTTTTACTTCTTGTAGAGACAGAGTCTTGCTGTGTTACCCAGGCTGGTGTGAAACTCTTGGCCTCAAGTGACCCTCCTGCGTTGGCCTCCCAAAGTGCTCAGATTACAACCAGAAACTGTCATACCCAACCACTTTCAATAAGTAATTAAAGAAAAGATATCTTAAAAGGAGAAAGGAATCACCTGAGGCTAGGAGTTTGAAACCAGCCCCAGCAACATGGCAAGACCCTGTCTCTGCAGAAAATAGAAAAATTAGCTGAGCATGGTGGCATTCACCTGTAGTCCCAGCTACTCAGAAGGCTGAGACAGGAGGATCCCTGGAACCCAGGAGTTTGAGGTCACAATAAGCTATGATCTCACCACCATACTCTATCCCAGGCAGTAGAGTGAGACCCTATTTCAAAATATAAGAGAAATAAAATGTGTATGAGGTTGAGAAAATTTAGGAAAAACTGGAAGAAAATTGGTTCTTGGAATCTCCAGATACTGGAATTGTTATGTGCTTAATATAAGGAAATTCTGTCAATAAACTGGACTATAGTAATATTACAGATTTATGGAAGAACTAAAAGACATTAGGGAATTAAAAAATGCAGTAGTGAGGCCGAGTGTGGTGGCTCATGCCTATAATCCCAGCACTTGGGAGACCAAGGTGAGTGGATTGCCTGAGCTCACAGGTTTGAAACCAGCCTGAGCCAGAGCAAGATCCTGTCTGTAAAAAATAGCCAAGTGTTGTGGCAGGTGCCTGTAGTCCCAGCTACTCAGGAGGCTGAGGCAAGAGAATCACTTGAGCCCAAGAGTTTGAGGTT